AATTTATCGTGTTACTATTCACAAGATCATCGAAAGAAATATGAACTGTATGCGAAAGACGGCTGCATTAATTGACAGTCACCGTCATTAATTTCATAAAATATAGGTATGTACTTACTTTACGCCATTCCTTCCAGTTTTTATTAGCTCCCGGAATACTGTTCAAAATATTGGCAATATATTCCCCATCGTTCGTGGCATCCTTCCATTGTATAGCTTTGCGTTTGCTTACCGCTAATTAGTTGCGGTTTCTTTTTTACATACTCCACGAGCAATGTTTTCTGCCTATCTGATGCATTTGCACTGCGTTTCTTCTTATTGTTCTCCGATATTTTTCATAAAGTGAAAATTTGTCAAATGTCAACAGTTTACACAACCTGTGTTTTTACCTCAGTAACTCAAAAATCTCTCAATTTGCAGGGTTGCCTGATCAACCCTTAATGTTGTGAATGCCGAACTCAGACGTCTTTGGACTTGCGCATGTTATCCACAAATTGGTACAAAGAAAAGTGCACGTTTCATATCGTGCGCATCTTTAATACGTTGAGTGCCACAATGTTAACAAAAAATTGGGATTGTATGACCACGTTTTTTTTCCTGCATTTGCTGAAAAATTGAAGTAAAAATGCAACAAAAATGATGAAAAATAACTTTAGATGCTCGAAAAAACATGGTTTTGAAAATGTATCCACGTTGGATTCACGTGGCCAGTTCATTATTTTTTGTATGGTATATTTATTTCTGAACAAAATAAGATTACAGTAATAATGAGGTAACATTACACTGCAAACTTGTAAGGTTATATTGAAGTTTACTGTAATGTTGACGCAGTATTGCGGCAAGTACTGAAACAACCTTAGGGTAATATTACAAATGCAAGGTTTATGAATGATAACCTTTCAGCAATATTACTGGAATATTAGATCAAAACTTCAGCAAACTTACGAGTGTAAGGTTACAAATTCAAATATACCTTAGGGTTACTTGCAATTTATTAGTAAGTTTACTGCAATATTGCATTTTTATTACAAATATATTGGGTTCGCCACTTTACTGCAATAAAAAAGTAATGTTGCTACTGCATAAACTCTAACAGCTTGTTCTAAAAACAAGCTGTTAAAATTTGTGCCTGAAACCCATAATCATAATATATTAGGTAGATATTTTATTATGAATAAAAGTACAAGTTTTTGGAAAACAAAATAAAAAGGTTGGTAGGTATATTATGTATATCTATATAATACTCACAATAAAAAAATATACTTAGGTGAAAAACAAAACGTAAAAAGTAATATCTCAAAGCAAAATAAATAAAAATTCTAAACAGAAAAAAAAAGCGAAATTTTAGATTGGTTGACACACAGGACGAAATAGGTATTGGCTGCTACCACAGAGGCTACTTATATTGTCACCTGGAACAAAAACAAAATCAGGGAGTAGTTCTGTATTTTTATTATAATAATTATTCCCCGTCGTAGCCACTTTCTTTCTGGACATTACCTACCAAACGGTTTACGATATTTTTGATCCTAACTAAAATATTATCGTAAAATCATAATAAGTAATATAATAATAATACGGGATTTGTAGGTATGAAAAAAAGAGGTTACGGTTTACAAAAAAAGGGGCCCCATTCCGCAGTATTTTTGTAAAAAGTATTTATTGACTATGCAAACCTTACTCACCTTATTTGAATCCTCATCCATTGTAATCGCTGTATATTTATTTCATTTCCACAGGTTCTAAAATAAAAACTGAATAATAAAAATAACCAAAAAGCAAAGCACTACCTGAACCGATCCAATACATAATCCCAACACAAACACCAACAATTTAGCCGAGATTCGCTTTATCACAGACACAACATTCAACAAGCAGACACAGCACTCAACTCAAACGACAAACAGCGACTTGATGGCGTCGATTTGCTTTCGGTTTAGTTCGTATCCCCGATGTCGTTCCGATCGTTATTAATGGCGGCAAAGCGTTCGATTTTCCAATATATTATTTCTGCTATATTGCAGCAAGTTTACATTCAATATTAAATTATAACATTGCAAAATAATATCAACACAACTTTAAGGCATCTTTGCGATGTAACCTTACCTACAAGTTATATTTCCAATTTTGCAGCAAGTTTACATTTGGTAGTTATTATAACATTGCAAAAATTATACCAGTTCAATTTAAATGCATATTTACAATGTTAATTTGCGTACAAGTTAAAATTTCTAATATGCGTTAAAATTTCAAGGATATTCCATTTTGTAATTTATTAACGTAATGTTGTGTCAAAAATAATTCAATATTACATTGTAATGTTGCGAAACTAAGATCAGAGAATATCAGAGTAATATTGCATTAGGCTTTCGTAACATTGCATGTTCAGTGGGATTATACCTACCCCCCACATGTATCCAACGCGGATACATAGGGCACCATCGGCAACAATGCATAAACAAATGGGTTTGATGAGTTGAATAATCAAAAATACATGTGTACGTTTTTATTCCACAGTATTTGTGTGCAATACACTATTTTTCCAAATAAACCAATTTTTAAATGCCCTCATTTATAAATCTCTCTGTAAAAAAAACAGAAATAAAATCCGCAGTCCAAACCATTTTTGGGTACCCCAGGCCACGATATGAAAGCTCCCATAACGATACGTGGAAAGCCTGCATCTAACGCGGATACACAGGGCCAGAAATAAAAAAACCATTTTGTAACCGCAGTGGATACATCATGTAGCCCCTGAATCATTGTGCCGTATGTATCCATGTTGGATACACGTGGCACTCAACGACGCAAATAAACGGACATTCCCAAAAATTGGCCCCCTGAGGGTAAAACAAACGAAGTTCGAGCGAAAATCAATTTGTGGTCGGGTTTGCTCAAGGGGGCAAACACATCGATCTTGTAAGGCTCTGGATTTGTGGTAAGGAACAAATCGAGTAAATTATCCTATTTAAAAAATGAATCAGGAATACGTGTGGGCTCTTCTACCAACTGGGTTAGGGCGTGTGAAATGGCAAATTCTTCAGCAATCTTTCCAACATGGATTGTTTTGTTCGAGAACTTAAGCCATTCTGAGTTTATGAACAGTTGAATCTCCCAAGGATATACCTAATCTTGGAGCTCGGATGGGTCTCCTGGATAGAATCAAATGAATTTGCCAGATTCTCAAATAGTTTATAACTGGAGTCGTTGGGTGGAAGATACCTACACACAGCAAATACACCTATCCATGTTCGTAGAAGTAATTGTTAGCCAAATTACATCGTGATCAAAGGATTCGAGATCATTCTCTCTGTGGCAAGAGAGATTACTGCAAGAAAAGGTGCAAAAGCCTCCCCCGCTAAGCAAAGTCGCGTATGAAGTTCATAGCCAGGACATAATAGTGCAGTTAATTAAGCATAAAATAGGGGTCCACCTACCAATTTTGAAGTAAGAAGCTGAAAATTGGTATACATCTTCATTTTGACGTTCTACTAGTTGTCCCAAAAGTCACAATAAATGTAGCCAAGGCTTCTTTAGTTATTGCAGGTCAAAGGTCACAGAAATCGGGTTTTTGCGGTTATCTCGGTTCCTATTGCTCCAACGATATTAACACCTATTACAAAAGCCAGAGATAATAAAATTCCTAAGCACTTTTGTCGGAAACTTTTTTCCATAAGATGAACCGTTCTTGAGCTAGTGCGCGAAGAGTGGTGCTCCAGATTTTGACCTATAAATTAAAGGGACCTACCGGTGAATTTTTGCATACACGTTGTTGTTATAGGTCTAAATAATTGGTGAAAGTTTCCCATCGATTTGATGATTATTTGGGCCGTTAACGGAGGGTCAAAGGTCAGAAATGCGTTTATCAATATCTCGAAAACGATCAACTTTTTTAAAAATTTCTTCTTAAAAAAGTTATACATCATCATAACTTACGACACGCACACGTGATTTTATTAGACTTTTGGGCCAACTTTAAGAATGGCCAATTGAAGGTGTGTACGAGTCTACAGCTTGTTTCCTCCCATTTCGAGAATGGCTCCTCATCTCTGTTTAAATTTTGCGCTGTATCTCAAGAAGGGCTAATTGTAGAGCACTATCAGATCAAATTTGGAGCAAATTTGATGATGATTGATGACGGCCCAAATAATCACCGAATCGATGGGAAACTTTCACCAATTATCTAGACTCATTATAACAACGTGTATTCAAAAATTCACCGTTAGGTCCCTTCAACTTATTGATCAAAATCTGGAGCACCACTCTTCGCGCAGTAGCTCAATAACGGTTCATTTTATGGAAAAAAGTTTCCAACAAAAGTGCTTAGAAATTTTATTACCTCTAGCTTTTGTCATAGGTGTTAATATCGTTGGAGCAATAGGAACCGAGATAATCGCAAAAAAAACGATTTCTGTGACCTTTTACCTGCAATAACTAAAGAAGCCTTCTACATATCTTCAGACAAACAGCTGATTTTCTTATCATGCCACTGATCAAGCTAAATTGCAAAAAAAATGAATAATAATAAGAATCTCTAACTCTTATTTCATTTATTAAATTCAAACTCCAGTGTTGAGAAATTACCTACCTACTATATTCAGTTTTATAAAAATTCAGAGAACCGTGTTTTGAATTTTTTTATGTAAATCAGTTTGTTGTAGATATAGAAATAGATTATACGAAAGTCACGGAAAGGTTCTATAATCGCAGCAAACGTCCTAGGGCTACAGGACACAGGTAATTAGTTCTTTTGTGAATAATTTCAAATATTCAACATAGCTTATTGAACATCTTGAGAGGAAAATGTAGATACCTCAACAAATGGATGAAATCATTAAAAGTCGATCAGAGACATGTTATGGAGATGTTTAACTGAAAAGCGTTTATAACTCAAAAGAAATATAGGTAAGAAGTGAACTCATTTGAAAAAAAAATGTTGCAACAGGAATTTGCTGCTTAAAAATTAGAAAGGCAGAGGAAAAGAAAAACTTTCTGTTAAGTTATTTATTTCTTGATACAAATTTAATCCATAGCCCTCCAATAGGAGTTAATATGATTCCTTTAGTTTCCATTTTGAGCGGTAACTTTGTTCTGCTGCTTAGGCGGAATTCATAATTCACAAGACATAGTACTAAAGCAATTTTTGATTGGATCATTGCAAATCTCATTCCTGAAATTCAAAAAAACAATAGCTTAAGGTTTTATTTTAAGTTGGTCTTACCTATGCAATTTCTGGGTCCGGATCCAAAAGGAATAAATGTTCCATCTACAATATTTTCTTTATTTTTTTCATTGAATCGTTCCGGATCAAATAGATCCGGATCTGGAAAGTATTCGGGATCTCTTTGTAAACCAATACAAGGAATTAGCACTGATTGACCTTCTTCTAGGAAAGCTTTTGTTTTGGGTATTGGGTACCGTTTGGTGCATTTTCGGAGAAATACTGGAGCTGGTGGGTATTTTCTGAGAGTCTCTGAAAATGGAATTTGTAAAAATAATTGCATTCGAATTTAGATTTTAAAAAAATTTACCGCTAACTACAGTATCCAAATACTTCATCTCCATAAGTCCATCGTAAGTTATTTTGCCAAAATGATTGGATAAAACTTTAAGTGCCTCCTCACGTGCTCTTTGTTGAATTTTCGAATTTGAAGCCATTTCGAAGAGGGCAAAACTTGTAGTTGTTGACGTGGTCTCAAAGCCAGCCAAGAAGAAAATAAACGCTTGTGCAGCAGCTTCGTCGATGGTCAGAGCTGTACCTGGTTCTTCATTAATCTAATAAGAGTAAAAAAAGTTTACGAAAAATTAAGTTTTTTTTTTCCATTTCACCCTGTCTGAAAATTGTTCAGAGACAGTGATATTTTGGAGCCAGGCGTTTTTAGTGGTCAGGTTGTTACAGTAAGTATTTGAATATTTGACTATCAAATTAGTACCTATGCTACTAGATTTAAAATTACAACCTCACCTTGTTTTCGTCTGAATTGTCTTCACTGATTTTCCCGTTATTTTTAAGTTCCACCAGTAATTGCATAAAATCTCTTCTTTGAATGTTATTAATTTCCCGATACGTAATGGTTTCTCTTACTACTTTACGGAAGAAAGTAGTAACTGTGCTTGAAAAAATCCCAAGACCCAGACACTTAGCCAGTGAAGGAAAACTTCTTATGATAATCTATTAAAGAAGATGGGATGTAATAAAATCATTTTTGTTTAGGTATGTACTATGTGATGGTCACATTACCGTCTTAAGGACATCACCGACTGTTTGTGTGAAAGCTCGTCTTCCCATTTGTCTGAACTCAGCTTCAGGGTTTCTCATAGTGTTACACTCTAAGCCAAAAGCGCAACATCCTATCACGTCAGTACTATATCTAGCAAGAATCTCCTATTGAAAAGTACTACTTTTAATTCAACATATTATAATAACACTTTTTTATAACGCATACCTTTATTTCAACTTCACCTTCAGTCTCAGAAATTTCCCCAATTACATCAGACATTTGCCTACCACAACTCAAAATAATGTCAAACATATGTTTGAGCTTAACCGGTGAATAAGCTGGTGTTAATTTGGCTCTTAAATTTTTCCATTTTGGTCCGGCGATTGAGAAAAGATGGGCGCTTAGAGGATCGTTTTCTTCGTCGTAATAAATTCCTGAAAGAATTTATATATCATTGAAATATCCTTTTATTTTGATTTTAAATTTACCTCTATCATAGAAATGTGCAAAATCTTTTCCTAAAATGTCTTTAATTAATAGAGGATCCAGAGGTAAGAATGCTTTTCTACTAAAGAAATAGAGTCCTACATAGCCATGGCCTTTGGTTTTTTCTCTGGAGTAGATTTCGTTTATTTTATCACCCATATTTTGTTTCCTACAAATTGATTTTGGGGGTTTAGGTAAAATTAAACAACGGTTTCGAGAGCAACATAAAAACGTACCATACTCACCAAAAGTATCTGGGACAAAAATAATTCATACTAATCTCCTGGACTAATTCTACCAGCAGTCATTTCAATGCATTTAATTCATAGTTTGACAAATATTTGACAGTAAAATTCATATAATAGTACAAGAGCTAATATAATGCTGTCCCAGTTACTTTTGGTGACGTTGGTACCTACTACATTTCGGAGTGAAATATTTTCACATTCAAACAATAATTTTTAGTACCTTCTGTAAGCTGGAAGAAAGTTTTTTCTAGGCCGGTTACGAAATTTCTATAGAAAGATCAGTTTTAATGGACAGTATAAGCTTTGTTCCAACCCAGCAGGAAACCGTAATGTCACCGTCAGGATTCTATGCAAAACCTAAAATTTTTGCGTAGAACCTGAAATTCGTATACAGAGTGGTTCCAGAACCGTTCTGCGTCGGTTTTTGGACGGGTTGGAACAAACCTATAGAAACATTTGAAACTTTAACGGAGATAGTTCTAGAGTGTAGGAAATTAAGTTTTTTTATTGCTTTCGTTAAAATTATTAATTTTGTCCATAATTTCAATTAGAACTAATTTTTTCTTATAAATCCTATGAAGACATGAATTTTCCACAGCCGACCTGAAAAACAGTTTTCAAGTTTCTCTTTTGAACAAAACCTTAGCGAAAGTTGTTCGAATATCTAATTGTTCGCCTTCAAAACCTAGTAAAGTTTGTATAAACCACACATTTAATAAATTACTTACCTAAATATGACACTTGCCATATCGCCAAAAGGAAAACTGGGATTCAGTTGAGGTACTCCTAATCGCGTCCAATATTTGTATGCAATTTTAAAATATATAAAAATTGATATAGATACGATAAGTATAGATAAAGACACCAACATTTTTCGTAATTTCACTTTTTCATAAGAGTTCGAACTAAATCTCACAACTAGACTTTCTCTTCTGATAATCTCGCGTCGCGTGTGACCTACATCTCTTCTCAATGGTTACCTACCTGAAGTACCTGGACGAATAAATGTTTACATATATAAATTATAATGAAGAAAGTAGCAAAGAGTTTCTACTAGTCACTGAAAATTTGGAAAAAAAAAATCTATTTGACACCTGTATTTAAAAAAAATTCTATCTTAAATAGTAAAGGCTGTAGGCATGGGTCCAAATATAATCAAATACCCTGTACATATTATATCCGAATGAACGACCTCATTTGACCAAGCATAGTAGCCACGTGCCTCTTAAACTACACAATATCCCATTGCGCCACTAAATTTGGAGAAGCTTTGTCAGCGTATCCCAGCATTACCGATCATCACTGTGCAATATATGCTGACTTTCAAGATTCCTAGTATAAAGGAGATTTATTTTGTTAGAGTAAGTTAAGAATTATTGTTAAATAATGTTATGTTACAGAATTGGACAATAAGGTCGATTAGTTACAGTCACATAGTTTTGTGAACAGTAAAAGCTCAATTGAGGTGATTCGGAGTTTTGAACTAGTGCAAGATTTTTGTGTTATTGTTTTAAATACAGACTTACGTAGATGAGTCGTAACGTTTTAGCACCGGTTCTATTCGATCCAGGATCCAGAGCACATTGTTCCAGAATCATTTATTATTTTTTTCAAAGCTGAGAATAAATCCAAAACATATTGCATCGAAAAAAAAAACGCCCCAGAAGGAAATCCCTTATATTGAATTGCTGCTATATTCACAAACAAATACCTAGATAAAAGTAAAAATATGTCAAGATTTGGCAAAAATCCCAAATGTGGATGGAGTATAGTGAGTAGATGCATTACTAAAAGTCAGACGAATAGGATCGAAATACAAGTGGCCCAATCGCGATAAATACGTAGAGGAAATTATACAACGATGGCAAGCTGTCAAAGTATGTCCAAGAAACCTTAACAAAGCACTAGTAATAACCGATAATACCAAAAACGCTCTTTGTGAAAGAATACACATCGACAAAAGAAGAATTACGCACTTTCAATAGGAGAAGACTTAACAAAATATTATTAAGCTTGTTCCATTGGTGACAAAAAGCAAAATTACTAATTATCATATTTTTAGTTGTTTTTACAACGAGAATGCTGTTTTGAAATAAAGTTGACATTATGCTAAGTTATGCTTAAGTTGCTTTTATGCTGCACTTGCAGAAATAATCAAAATAAATTATGCTGATAATCCGACGAACGTATTGTCGCGAAAATCTGCCGGAAGCGCCAGGGTATACAGAATTGGACAGCTGATTCTAGATTTTGCGGTGCTGTTCTGGAAGGAGGGTTATCGCGTTTATTCTGGATTTTGCAGGAATAGATTGCGGATATATAAGGGCCGGTATTAGTTGGTAATTTTTAAGTTGAAGATTAGCTGTGATATGATTTAGATAGTGATTATTGTTAAGAGTTGTAGAGTTTAGTTGTTTGAATTAATTTGTGTCAGAGTGTATAGAAACGTGGAATAAATTATTGGTGTGTTAATTGGACTTTGATTCTGGAATAAACAAACCCAAGATTTCTGTCACGCACCCCAGAGCCGTGACATTGGTGTTGGAAGTGAGATATAATTCGAGGGCTGCAAAGTGAAATCTGATTGCAGAATAGTGCGCGGATACTGGTGTGTACACTATAGTGAACATTGGGACAGTTAGTCAGTGTAAGCAGTGACAATCACCAAAAGAGACTTAACCGATTGTGTAAATTACCCCGGAAGTGACTATATACCCGATTCTGACTGTGATAGTGAATTTTCAAGTAAGTTCTAGAAAATTCTATTTAGAAACCGAGATCGAATTTGTGACTTCACCGACGCATTTGCCATATCAATCGACATTTCGGAACCTGTCACTACGAACAGTCATGGGCGAATCAGCAGCAGTTCAAGGAGAAGCTATGGTTGAGCTTACTTTTGGATCTACCACCTTTAGGCACAGAACATTAGTCGCCGATATAAAAGTTGATTTTATTTTGGGAATGGATTTGATCGGCTAACATGGTTTCTCTTTTGATCCTTCCGTGAACATCCTTAATTTGGTAATGGAGAATTTGTCCTAACTACACAAGAAGAATCCCAAGCCATTAAGATCCTGACCACAAACCCAGTAAGCATTCCTGGAAGTACTGAGAAGATCATTTGCGGAAAATTGGAAACAAACCCTGGGTGCTGCGTTGGACTAACACATAATTTTATTGGAGTTAAACCAGAAAAATTGGAGACATTATGATAAGAATTGCCAATGTTTCTTCTGAAACAGTAAAAATAAAGACAGGAGATATTATTGGAACTCTCGAACCAATTAAGCAAATATCGAACTGTGACCTACCAGATAAGCGACATTCTGAAAAATCAAAATTGGATACAGACATCTTGATGCAGACTTTGGAGAATTCATGGAAACACCTCGACCAAGATAGACTTCAAGAAGCCAAAGATTTCATCTTGAAAGAAGCAGACGTATTTGTGATGGATAATCAAACCGGACGGACCAGTTTAATTCAACACATAATTGATGCTGGATTGGCACACCCAATTAGACAACCACCTCGACGTATGCCAGTAGCTAAACAACAGGAAGTGGAAAACCAAATTGATAAAATGCTTCAAGAGGGAATTATTGAAGAGTCAAAGAAAGATGGAAGTCTTAGATTTTGTGTGGACTACCGTAAGCTTAATGACGTCACCAAAAAGGACAGCTTCCCTGTTCCGAGGATAGATGATACATTAACAACTCTATCGGGCTCCAAATGGTTTTCCACCTTGGATCTCAAGAGTGGATACTGGCAAGTGGCAATACACAAAGATGACAAAAACAAAAATTGCCTTCAGTACCGGAAGCGAGTTATACCAGTTTAACGTAATGCCTTTCGGATTGTGTAATGCCCCAGCTACGTTTGAGCGACTGATGCATCTATTTTTGCGAGACCTTACATGGAGACCTTGCCTGGTATATTTAGATGATGTCATGAGCATGGCAAATTCGTTCCAAGAACATCTCAATAACCTGAAAGAAGTTTTTGACCGCTTCTGGAATGCCAACGTGAAACTCAACCCAAATAAGTGTTTTCTATTTCAAAAGAAAGTGAAATTCTTAGGTCACGTGGTATCTGAAGATGGCATACAAGTTATGGAAGGAAAAATAGATGCTGTTAGGGATTGGCCAAAATCACGCGACAAACATTAACTAAGGAGTTTTCCAGGATTATATTCTTATTATCGAAAATTTGTAAAAGGGTTCGCTAATATAGTATAGCTGCTCCGCTTCATCGATTAACGGAAGAAAAATTAACATTCAATTGGACCCAAGAATGCGATTCTGCTTTTAGAAAATTGAAAAGAGCATTATGTACAAGTCCAGTGTCGTCCTATCCCGATCAGAAAGGCATGTTGATTTTGGACACAGATGCAAGCAAAACCAGTACCTAGAGTTGTCCTTTGAGAAATTCACAAAAGCATGTCGTAGATTACTACAGCAGAACCTTATCAAAGCCGGAACGAAACTATTATGTCACCAGAAGAGAGTTGCTTGCCATAGTAAAAGCAGTCGACCATTTCCATAGGTATCTCTACGAACGTGAGTTTCTAATTCGAACGGATCACGCGGCTCTAAAATGGCTTTTAGAAATCAAAACTCCCGAAGGACACCTTGCTAGATGGATTGAGAAATTGCAGCAATACGATTTCCAAATTAAACATCGACCTGGAAACCTGTATAGATCTGTCTAGACGGCCATGCAAAGAAGACGGTAAGCATAGTCAAAGAATCGATAAATGGACTACCAAACAAATGAGAGCATATCAAGAAGCAGACCAGGACATCGGGCAATTTCTATATCTTAAAGAAAATGATGAATGTAGGCCAGAATGGAGAGACAAGTGTTTGATTTACAAGGCGTTGTGGGCTCAGTGGAACTCTCTGGCCGTAGAAAATGGTTTACTGAAAAGAACTTGGAAAGCGCCGATGGAAAATCTACTAAGAGCCAACTGGTTATTCCAAAAGATCGAGTAGAGGATGTATTAAAAGAAATACATGACGGAACCTCAGAGGCATATTTTGGAGTTAAAAAGACTTTGGACACAATTCGAGAACGTTTTTATTGGATCCACTATCACGAAAATGCGAATCTGAGCTACCAGTAAAGGCCCTAAACTAAGATCTCGGAGGCTCATGAAACAGTACAACGTCGGTCTCCCATTTGAAAGAATATCGATAGATGTAGCCGGACCGTTCCCTGAGTCCGAGCGTGGTAAAAATGCATCTTAGATATCATGGATTACTTCAGTAAATGGCCAGAAGTTTTCGCTATTCCCAATCAAGAAGCCATCACTATTGCCCAGGTGATAGTGGACGAAGTTTTCAGTCGTCATGGTGTGCCACTAGCATTTGCATTCAGATCAGGGACGAAACGCAGTCGACCATTTCCATAGGTATCTCTACGAACGTGAGTTTCTAATTCGAACGGATCACGCGGCTCTAAAATGGCTTTTAGAAATCAAAACTCCCGAAGGACACCTTGCTAGATGGATTGAGAAATTGCAGCAATACGATTTCCAAATTAAACATCGACCTGGAAACCTGTATAGATCTGTCTAGACGGCCATGCAAAGAAGACGGTAAGCATAGTCAAAGAATCGATAAATGGACTACCAAACAAATGAGAGCATATCAAGAAGCAGACCAGGACATCGGGCAATTTCTATATCTTAAAGAAAATGATGAATGTAGGCCAGAATGGAGAGGTGTCGAACAAGTGTTTGATTTACAAGGCGTTGTGGGCTCAGTGGAACTCTCTGGCCGTAGAAAATGGTTTACTGAAAAGAACTTGGAAAGCGCCGATGGAAAATCTACTAAGAGCCAACTGGTTATTCCAAAAGATCGAGTAGAGGATGTATTAAAAGAAATACATGACGGAACCTCAGAGACATATTTTGGAGTTAAAAAGACTTTGGACACAATTCGAGAACGTTTTTATTGGATCCACTATCACGAAAATGCGAATCTGAGCTACCAGTAAAAGCCCTAAACTAAGATCTTTGAGGCTCATGAAACAGTACAACGTCGGTCTCCCATTTGAAAGAATAGCGATAGATGTAGCCGGACCGTTCCCTGAGTCCGAGCGTGGTAAAAATGCATCTTAGATATCATGGATTACTTCAGTAAATGGCCAGAAGTTTTCGCTATTCCCAATCAAGAAGCCATCACTATTGCCCAGGTGATAGTGGACAAAGTTTTCAGTGGTCATGGTGTGCCACTAGCATTTGCATTCAGATCAGGGACGAAACTTCGAATCTGCCATCTTTAGGAAAATTTGTGAGATCATGGGAATTCGTAAGACAAGGACAACACCTTTACATCCACAGTCTGATGGCATGGTAGAACGATTTAATAAGACCATAGAGGAACACCTGACAAAAGTGGTCGCAAAGAACCAGCGAGATTGGGACAAACATTTGCCTTTATTTTTAATGGCTTACAGAACAGCTGTTCACGAGTCAACACGTGAAAGTCCAGATAGAATCGTTTTTGGAAGGGAACTCAGCTTACCTTGCGATCTGATGTTTGGAATACCTGAAGAAGAACGTGAAGAAATTCGAGATTATGCCGACGAAGTAAGGGCACGACTTCTGGGGATACAAGATTTTTTTCGGGAGCACATTCAGCTGGCCAGTGACCGAATAAAGACCAGATACGACTTGAAAGCCAATTCAGCCGGATTTCAAGAAGGTGATTTAGTGTGGTTGTATAAGCCAGCAAGAAAGAAAGGAGTGTCGCCGAAATTGTCTTCAGCATGGGAAAGACCCTACAGAAAAATGAAGAGGGTTAATGATTTGGTTTATCGAGTTCAGCGCAATACTTAGATAGATACGAGCTCATTTTCGAGGATAGGTACATCATCTAGACCAACTACCGTAAAACCGGCTTTTTTTGCACCGACGGGGTTCTTTGCACAAATATTCCAAAAAGTTATGAAGTCGACTTTTTGGGACCGGTAGTACAGACAGCCGATAGTGAAACCGGTTGCAAGTCTTCACAGGTGTTAGTTCGTCGCTGAACGTGAAATGGGGTAGATTTGTTGCTGCCAGTGGGAACGATAGCACGCGTAAGTAGTCCATTTTTTTTGTAAAAAAAAAATAGTGGGATGCTAAGAGATCTGGAACATAGTAGAATTTTTAGAACTGCCTGGAAACTTGGATATAGATTTGTTATACCCCTCGAAACTTAAAATAATATACCTATACAGAGTATGTTCATAAAGGATTGATGCTGTTTATATTTTTTTTTTGAGAGAGAGAAGGCACTTTCTTGGGGTTACTTTGCAATGTCGGTTTTTGTTATTTTTTCGGAGGTAGGAGGGAAATAATGAATGTGTTACATTTTCTTTACAGAAAAATGCCTAGAAAGTACATAAAAAAGCTGAGGGCACAACCCTACAAAAATTACATAGATGAAACCGTTGAAATGGCGATTGCAGCTATCCGCCGAGGAATATCTTCTGATGCATCCGCTCGCTATAAAATTCCTGTAAGGACCCTTTACTATAAACTAAGCGGGCAACATGCTGGCGCAGTAGGCGGTCAACAATGTCTGAGTGAAGTCGAAGAGCGACACTTTGTAGACGTACTAATAGCCTGCGCGGAATACGGCGCACCGCTAATAACTTTCGACCTGAAAATGACGGTAAAATCTTATTTAAATAAACAAGGGAAGATTATAAAACAATTTAAAAACGGAGACACGCCAGGCAAGTATTGGTGTTACAACTTTTTGGATCGACATAAAAACAGACTCACTCAGAGGGCGTGTCAAAATATCAAGGAAGTCCTAGCAAAGAAAACGGAAGAAGAGTTCACGGAATATTTTGAAAATTTGGCCCGCAGTATTGAAAACGTTCCTCCGGAAAACATCTTAAATTTTGACGAAACAAATTTGACGGACAATCCAGGCGCACAGAAATGCATATTTAGGCGTGGAATAAAATATGCTGAAAGGGTTATGAACACATCCAAGTCTGCAATTTCAATAATGTTCGCTGCCACAGCTTCGGGAGAAATGTTACCACCTTACGTGGTCTCCAAAGCAGAAAGACTTTATGATCTATAGTGCACAGGAGGACCCAAAAACACAAAATATAATAGAACCAAATCTGGTTGGTTCGACGCTGCAACGTTTCAGGACTGGTTCGAAAGGATTGCTCTGCCATGGGCCAAGCAACTACCCGGTCGGAAGGTATTGATAGGAGGCAATCTCTCCTCTCATGTGCAGTTAGACATCTTGAGAGAATGTCAGCGTAATTTTATTACATTTGTCTTTCTACCACCGCATTCCACGCACGACACAACCATTAGCTGTGGGATTTTTCAGATCATTGAAGCAAAACTAGAGAAATATAATAACCACATAAAACAAAGAATCCCAAAAACAACACTGTTGAGAAGACCTCATTTCCACAGGTGCTCAAAATGTTAATGACAAAGATAAGTGAAAATCAAGAGAATGTGATAAAAAAAAAACTCCTTCAAAGCAGCAGGGATAGTTCCACTTAATCCCGATGCTGTTTTGAAGAAGTTGCCAGCAAGACGGCTCTAAGACAATGTCAAGGAACATATTGATAGTGCGTTATTGCGGTATTTGAAGCAGACTAGATCAGCAGATATACTCAGCAAACCAAAAAGATTCAAGAAGATGTTACAAATTACTCCTGGAAAATCCGTCTTTTATGAAGAATTGTTCCCCAGCGAAAGCCAGAGCAATGAAGATGAATCTTCAGAAGACGACATGGTATCATTATCTGACAGTGGAGAAGAGGAAACACCAATGGAGGCACAACTTCAAGATGACAATCTTAGTGACACCTCAAATAATAATGGAGAGGCTGCAGAACGGCAAAGCAAAATTATCATTGGTAGTTTTGTCCTTGTACAGTTTGTCACGAAGAAAACGTGCAAACACTTTGTTGGTGAAGTCGTAAACATTATGGAAGACGATCACAACGTCAAGTTTATGCGAAAATGTTTCAAAAATGGATTTGTTTTTCCCCAGGTCGATGATATTTCCCTGGTGAAAGAACAGGACATCATAAAGCATTTGGAAACTCCTTCGGTAATGAGAAGAGGGATTTATCGCTTCCACTATGATTTGAGTAGCTATCTGTAAATTAGTACCTAATAAGATTAAGTTTCTACCTACCAAGGAATCCTATTTGTTTTTTATTTAAGAATGTTTTTTAGTTTGATAAAAGAGTTAATATTTTGTTATTTTTTTCTAAATGAAGCATTTTCCTTAGTTCTTGGCTGTTTTTTAAATCAAAATTTTTTTTTTACAATTTCCCAGGCAAGTAGAAGGTTTTTAAAAACTTCTTTGGGGTGCAAAGCCTCCCTGAAGGCGTGTTTTACTGCGTTTCCATCACAAACTCACCTTCGTGCAAAATGACACTACTGGCGGGTGACTTTGCATACGATTTAAAAAAATAAAAAAATATAGATTTCAATTTTGGCAGGGATTTCTATTGGAAATATGAAAGTACTTACCATAAGTTTCACATAGTTTACACTCTTAACAATTCATTTAAAAATCAAGAGTTATAGAAAAAAATATGCCAAAACCGTGGAAAGTAACCCGGTTTTACGGTACTGAAATACCCGAAAACCAAAAATAACTCATTTTAATTAAAATACGTAAGAGACTCAAACAATATTGCACAGAATATTTCAGTATTTCATTCGAGACAATAACACAAAAGTCCCCATAGAACTAGCACTATTACAATACGCAAAGCTAATTAAATCAAACTTAACTGTTGGCAAAACTATATTAGTATACCTAATTAGATTTACCGTCCATTTCAAAACTCTTTTCTGAACTCATTCAATTCGAAACTCGCCTCTATGTATTATTCCTTGTTCCTTGAAGACCTATTTTTCCAATCATACTGGGCATACAGGGGTCAATTGATAGGTACTTACGTACCTACGTCATACGGGTTAAAATGCTATCTATGATATTTTATAACAATATTTCACTTTACAAGAGGACTTTGTATGGTTTTTTTTTTAATTATTAGAAACGTTTGGAAATTCGAAAAAAAAAAGAATAAATCTGGATCCTAAAGTGTTAGGAGATACAAGATGGAATATGTAGATCTGTTGATATTATATAAGATGTTTACAACTATTGATATTAATTCTGAAACTGGAATTTTATAATTTTCATGCATCGCTGCTTTATTTGAAGCTTCTGATCGATTTTGTGATAGAGTCAAATTACATGTAATTTCGAGTAGATTGCCTACTTGCTAATATGTTCATAATGTTTAATCTCAAACTTAGAAATCAAAATTTAATTTAATAAATCTTGTCATTTCCGCTATATTACCCACGGTAGTATAAGTTGCCATATTTTACAATAATGGCTCAAGTTAGGCAAGTTCGTTTCCTCACTAATGTGTAATCGTTCAAGCTTATCTAATTATTCCTATCTTTTGATTACGTGCAGTTAAGAATTAAAAATTACTTTTACCCTAGACATCGGAATTCCTTAGTAAAATCAATTCAAAATTTCCTTAAACCTCAGCAAAAGTTTAAAATTGATGAGAGAATGTGGCATTTTCATTATTCCTATCGTGGACGTTAGATGATAATTTTTAATCCAACTTTTAATTAATCAAACATTTCAATTCTTCAAACGTTTCAATTTGTTTGAAATTTCGAATCGCCCAATTCAAACATTTGGTAATAATTCTTATTCAAACATTTTAATTTGTCAACCATTTAAATGAAAATCTCAGAAATTCAAACGTTGGGTGATAATTTCCATTCAAACATTTGAATTAATCAAACCGAACACATCTAAATTCGTCAAAGGAACATTCCAAATCGTCGATTCCAAACTTTTGGTGATAATTTTCATCAAACAATTTAATTTGTCAAACCTTTTATGTCGAATTCAAACGTTTGGTGATGATTTTTGTTCAAACATTTTAAATCTGACAAATATTTTAAGTTAGGACATTGATATGAAAATTTATGGTGGCGATTTCACTCCCTGATCATCAGACATTTTAATTAAGGAATATGAATGTTGGCGATTTTCATGTTTGATGAATTAAAACCTTACATGCGAATTACAGTGGCTGTTGTCCATTTTGAACATAAACTTGACAATGTCAAAGTTTACACAATTGTTTGAATAATTATCAGGTCCGAGTGTTTCCTATTTTTGGGCTTGGTCAATTAAAATGTTTGTTGGAAAAGATTAGTCTTTCTTATTTTTTTTTAAATACTTTATCTGGATGCGGTTTTCGGCGTTCGAAAGTACATTTCGTCTAGATTACGCGGCAAAAACAATTTCTTAGTGGCAGTCCGAATTAGAATACGCTGTTGCATAGAAGCGGCCTGATACATTTTGAATATTTTTTCGATTTTGAAAGCTCATTTTATGAAAATTAATAGCGTGAATACAAAATTTCGCAGTGTACAGGGGTTAGCGAAAAGGTAAAGGTAAGTTTTTCAGAAATCATATAAATCCTGTAGATATTGTCAAGTAGTCGATACTTTGGGTCAATATCTGAAGATTTACTATTACTTATTGTTTGTAAATAGGGCCTCGTAATATGCCTTTTTGGCAGCACAACAGTTTCAAGGGGCTGGAAATTGAGAAAAGAATAATGGATTTTCACGAACTTCTCCGATATTGAAGGCTTATTTTTCAGATTATTACAGATTCAAAATTTAATGTTTTCCAGAAGTTACCGAAATCAAATGTCCAGTAGATGAAAGTTGAATTGCACACAGCATCGGAATAATTAAAATGCAGGCTTAAGGACAAAAACAACATTTAATTTCACAATTTGCCTTATTAAATAATAATACAAAATTCAGTAACGTGTGTTGCCTCCTCTTGCCCTGATTACTGCTCCGCATCTTCTTGGCATGCTCAAAATTAGATTTCTTATTGTCTCCTGATTCATCTGATCCCATATTTCCGTAAGCCTCAAAGAGAGCTCATCAAGGTTCCGGGGAGAAGGCACTAACGCTCTAACCTGTCGACCCATGTTGTCCCAAAGGTGCTCGATTGGGTTAAGGTCAGGACTTTTTGGCGGCCAGGGTAAAGTGGAAATTTCCACTTGCACAACTCCAGCCACATGTGGTCGAGTATTATCGTGCATCAATAAAAAATCTTCTCCAATGAATTGGGCATACGGGACCACATGGGGTTCTAAAAGTTCCGTTATGTATCGGTTAGCTGTCAAACGACCTCCCTGAATCACAGCCAATTCTGTGCGAGCATCCATACTTAGGCCACCCTATACCATTACAGAACCTCCCCCGTAGCTCACTGTTCCAACAATGTTGCATTGGGCATATCGCTCGCAAGGACGTCGATATACTCTACAACGGCGTTCATCACTAAAGCAGGACGCGCACTGAATCGACTCGGACCGGTCGACTCGGCGAAGAGCATTCGGTAGTTTTTGATACTCATGCAATTAAATGAGACTCGAGTCGACGAGTCCGATGCCGTGCGCGGAGTCTCATTTAATTGCATGAGTATCAAAAACTACCGAATGCTCTTCGCCAAGTCGACCGGTCCGAGTCGATTCAGTGCGCGTCCTGCTTAAGGAGGCAAAACCTTGATTCATCGCTAAACAATACATTGCCCCATTCACGGCCACCCAATTTTCGTGCTCTAGGGCAAACTGAAGACGTTGCCTTCGATGCTGCTGGGTTAGAAGAGGAGCCCTTGCTGCTCGATAGGGAGGGATAGTGCTTTCTGCCAACCTTCTCCTCACTGTATCTTGACTAATACGATAATTATACCGACGAGAGAATTTTTGCTGCAGCGCAGTGCTTGTAACAAACCGAGTCCGTAATGCCTGCATTCGCGAAAATCGATCCTGATCAGATCATTTATTGTCACCTTGATCGTCCTTGTCCTGGTCTTCTTTGATTAGGTACTACCGGAACCGGTCTCCCGAAATCGTCTAGGGCTCTGGAGATAGCAGATTGTGTCACTCCATAACGTTATGCCACTTCAGCTTGTGACTAGCCTTCTTCCACAAGAGCTATTGCAGCAGCACATTCTTCAGGCGAAAGATTTCTCATTTCGCGTGCATTTTGGGCCATTTTTTCAACATTACACGGAATAAAGTAAAAAGTTTCCAATACACACATAAAATACTAACTGAAAATGCAACAGTCGACAATTAAACCTTTAAAGAATATTGTTCTTATCTCCTTTTTTTCGATATTGTAAAAAACCATTGATTTTTTATAAATTCACAAAATTCACACGTCATTGCACACTGCACAGTTTTCAATAGTATGAGTTAATTCGATGGTAGACTCAGCTACTAGCTAAGAGTATTGTTTGGCCGTTACCTAATCTTCAACAAATTACTCCTACTTTTTCACCAACCTCTATAAAAGGCTAAATTTTGGATCTGTAATTATCGATTTTTTTTTTTTTTTTTGAAACGCTTGTCAAAATTTGTTTTCAATTTTCAGCCTATTGAATGGCGCTTACAAAAAGGCACTCAGGGGGACTTGTTTATAAACAAAAGTAATCGTCTTAGATATTGACCCAAAGTACCGACCACTTGACAATATCTCCAGGATTTATCTGACTTTGAAAAACTTACCTTTACCTTTTCGCTAACCCTTGTACAATGCGAAATTTTGTATTTACAGTAATAGCGTAAAAATTTTAATAAAATGAGCTTGCAAAATCGAAAAAATATTCAAAATGTATCAGGCCGTTTCTATGCAACAGCGTACTAATTCGGTCTTCCAAGAAGGCACTCGGGGGGCACTAATCCAAAAACGGAGAAATTTGTACCGATTTATTGATCCAAAGTTTCAATTGACAAATTGTGTAACAAAACGAAAGCACACAGCCCAATTGGCATAGCTTTGAAGAGAGCATTTACCATAGCTTGCGCAATTTTAAGTACCTACGTGATTTTTTCGACCCCTGTATAATGTGGTAAGGGACATCCGCAAGAAAAGCTTTTGTTCATGGAAAATCTACAGAAAAGGAGCTTTCAAAATCCGAAATGTTGATCGATAGCGGTTTAACCGTATCCACGCAGCAACCTTTCGAAACATACGTTGACAAGAATTTGATACATTTTTTATTTAGTTATAGTGTATCTGCCTCCAAAGGGCTCTTACCAGAAAACTGCCAAAAACGTTTGGAGATATTGACAGCAGCTCATTAACGGTCCATACTGAATCACGAAAAAAACATTATGGCCGAACAGGCACACACCCCTAATTTGTCCATTGTTGCATTAGTTCATGGATCACCCTGTATAGCATAAAAATTAGATTCCTTCTGAAAAATTATTTTTGAGGCGTAATCTAGACGAAATGTACTTTCGAACGCCAAAAACCGCATCCAGATGAATTATTTTGAAAAAAAATAGGAACCAAAGAAAGAAAATGGTAAATTGAACGAATGCTTATTAGGCTGTGCAGTGTATTATCTGTGCAAAATGAATTAAACAGTCACATATTTTTTTTCTAGATTTTGGAGAAACATTGCAACTGTTTACGAAACACACAGATTATCTTGTATAAAAGTTACTTGATTAAACTGGCAAATAAATAGAAGAAAAGCCACATAATGGAAAGTGCTTAATACTTGAGCCTCTGGTGGTTAATAGTTATTGTGAAAACATATTATGTGGTCAAAAAAATTGTCCCCCCTTGATCATCCAGAGGTGAACAAGGTGTCCGCCTAATAAAGATTTCCGTAAGGAGAGGTTCCACTGTATTGTGCCTCTTGAATAAAATAACTTTCAGTTACTCTAAAAAATTGGTCAAATATTTATTATGTTGGGATCCTTTTCAGCAAATATTGTTCAATCTTTTTCACACGGCTAGTGTTTTTTTTTCAATTCCATCCGGCTTCGAGATTTTTAAAATTTCAAGTTACACAAATAAACCATCCACGTTTTCCGATTGCTGGTCAGCACAACCCATTTTTTCATTGGATAAATAAACAACTACATTAACTAATAAACAGCACCAGCAGTTTTACCAGGTCAGTTATAGTTGAACGATTTGTCAATAAGATTTATTTGTTGGACAATATGTATATTGAAATGAAGAAGAACAACAAGCCCATTAAATGCGGCTTAACTGTACATACAAGTTGCTCTCTAGTTTTAGATAGGTAATCAAAAATAAAACAGCTTTAAGGCATGACAAATGTGAAAATTAGGATCGAGAACTAAATTAAATAGAAAAAGGAGTGACACTTGTAGTAGATCCAAAATCAAGGTTATATAGGACCCCATGAGTGAAAATGTTATCTAATCTAATAAGGGAACCATTTTGATACCATCCGAGAATTGAAAGATTCAGCAGATACCTACTAATAAATACATTACAAACCGTAAATGTTTATTCCTATGCTGAGGTTAATCATATTCTTAAATTATCTAATATGGTTGGCTAAAAGATGTTGGCGCAGCTTATTTGTTCATTTTCCGAAAAAAATAATGGCTTTGCTATTGCTTTAGCTTCACTCTCTCTTGGACTCTGCAAAAAAAATCTTAGTTTGGAAGATAAAAATAAAACTCAAAATTTAAAATCGAGGAATGTTCATTAACAAAATACTGTACATATATACAAAACAAATAAAATACATATACAAATAATTAATCCATCCTACATCGTGTACAAAATATTTGCAATAAGGCAATTACATAAAAAGATTCCCTAGGTAGAGTTTTAAGAAATATATATATATATATATTTATATTCACGTAAATACCTATTAAGCAAGAGTCATGATATTTGCTTAGAAAATCTACTAGCCATTTAACATAGGTAACTTTTTTTGCACATTTGGGAGTCTATAGTAGCTTCAAGGAGGAAAATACGTGAATTTCACTTATTTGGGAGACAAGTGGAATAACTAATAGAAAAGTAAATGAAAAAATACACAACAAAATATGTAGAATATAATGATATAAAATCTTTTGAAAATGATTAGACAGATTCTCCCAAACATGCAAAAAATTATGAATGAGTTACGGTTTATTGTCCTTGAGAGAACAAACGTCAAGGATTAAATTACTTTTGTCCATTGTTACATAATATACTATTACATGGCACTAACCAACAATTATACCATTATGGTCCACAATACCGTACTACTAAAGTCAGTCAAAAAATATTACTTAAAAGAATATGTCAACACCAATATTCAAAATTAGAAAAAAAAATATTTTCTTTATCACAGCCTTTTTTGACTTAATCTACATGTTTTTCTTTTCAATAATGGTTTTCCTAGCTAATATAATACATATTTACAATGAAAATGTAAATTTTCGATAACTATTTATAAGTGATACACTTATTGGCCATCAAGTCTACAAAGAGACTTGGGAAATATCAAATTTCAGCGCAATGGACAGCTACCAAATTTTCCATTTACATTGTACTTTGGGTAAGAAAGGTGTACAAACTTTAGGGTGAAATCCAAAGTTGCAAAACGTGAAATATTCAAAATTCAAAACCTTTTGCAAGTTTCAAATTCAGTTGAAGCAAAAGCCCAGTTTACGATAAAGGTCCTAAACTAACTGGAAAATTCTAGTGAAGGAAAGTGATCCCTACTCATATTATATTATGAGATAATAGGCATAAAAGGAGAAAGGAGATTTTACCACAGATACCTACATCCGCATACTTAGCGATATGCAATCACCATAGAGGTGTAACTGAATAAATTATATTTGATTGTGAGTTGAGTGATTCTTTATGCAATAATGTTTTTTTTTTTGTGATAAGCAACAGCCTGAAGCAGAGAAAAGGACACTTTCTGGGATTGTTCCTCCTCTAAATTAAGGTGTATCTGCAGAGGGCGTTTTTTCCCCGATGTGAGAAGAATGCAACCAGTTGTTACTGTGCCATACATGATGAATTTAAATGACAGATATACTGAAGTTTCGAATCCAGAATAAAAGCAATGTAAGTGCACAGAAATGGAGAAACCAAATAAGCCACACAAAGGGAATACAAAAGTCTCGAAGATCTGCAACTCTAAACATGGGAATAAGAGCAATGGGGAAAACTAAGAATGCTGTTGAACGAAAACACAAATTCAAAATTGAAATTGGGAAAAATTATCGCCTAGACAGGTAGCATATCAATGGAGGAAATACAGGAATCAATAAGATACCAAACACATTTTAAAAATCAGATTTATAAAGAACATCAAAAATAATATTAAGTTGGAAGAGCACTCCACTGGATATGCGAGGGTTCTGGGTTCAAATCCTAGTTGAGACAAGAAAATTTTTCATCAATTTTAATTAACGTCTGCATGCCACTAAAATTCTAACACACTGTAAATTATATCACAAACGATAAAAATTATAACATGTCTCACGCCACAATACTCACACAACAACATTTTTACAATTCAGCAGAACGAATTACGCGTACCAGTCATTCATTCATCTTACTTCTAGATTGTGCAACAAACTAATAGCTGTAGTTTTTTTGCACCACGGAAAACATTTAGGTGAGAACTATCGTTGGTCTCTTTTTCTAGCTTGTTGTTATTATTATAAGTATAACAATTTATTATAAATTGGGCTCCATTCGTCAATAAATTAATAAATAAATAAATAGAAGTTGATCCCATTCTCGTCTGTGCGCAACCGAAAAATTTTCTAAGTCTCTTCCAATTCTTAACAGAATCTACAATAATAACTATTTATGGTGGCCATTCAAAATAGAAAGGTAAAATGATTTCTAATAGTCATAAGTATAGTCCATGGAATTAGTACATTTTACCTTGCATGAAATAAGGTATTTCTGATTTTTTGATATGTTGTATCTGATGAAGTCCTCCCGATCATTGTTACATATCACTAAAACCGCTAAATTTTACCCTTTTTTCCACTTTTTCTATATTTTGATCACCAAGGACTAATGTTACGGCAAAAGTCGTTATGTACAATTCAAAAGTTAATAAAATGTAGAAAAAAACGAGACTAATTTGGTCTTTGTAGGTGAAATAGTTTCTAAGATACAGCAATTTAAAGTTTTCCATAATTTCAAGAAAAAAAAATTACACTTTGACCAAAGACGTCGGATTTCAAATTTGGCTACACCATTGTGTAGAGTGTAAAGTGAAGTTTATTCCAAAATATCTTTCTATGTGAGCCCAGGAAAAAGTAGAATCGAAAAATGCATTTTTTTCTTTTTTGAAATTATGCAAAACTTTAAATTGTGATATCTTAAAAACTAACCAAATTAATCTTGTTTTTTTTTTTTAAAAAATTTAGTTTACTTTACTTTTGCCGTAAGATTAGTCCTTGGTTGTCAAAATTGGCAGAAAGTTAAAAAAGGGTAAAAATTTAACGGTTTTAGTAATATTTAACAGTGATCCGGAGGGCTTTCGAGGTCAAAACCTCGGATTTGTCATAACCACTTCATCAAATAAAACATATCAAAAAAACCTCATTTCATGCAAGGCAACACCCCCTTTTTTAGTACGATTTCTATGAACTAGTATCGGACCACTAAACCCCACTGAATAATAATTTTTTAAAATGGCTGGTTTCTTCCATGGACTCAATTTACTACCTAAAACCAGAAGTTGACGGTAATTGGGCATGTGATTGGCTTAGAGCTATGCTTGGCTCAGTTTCCATATTTAGACCTCTATCTTGACTGCCACAATTGTAGCACACTGCGCTGGCATGACCTGATCGACCTATATTAACGTTTGCATGAAAAATTAGATACATGATGAATTTTCAAAATGCACATATGTACTCACCAGAAGTCAAACGCGTTCCTTCTGACCAAGTGTCCATTGCAGGATCATATATTTCCACATCTTGTAAGAACTGTTCTCCGTCATATCCACCCATAGCATAGATTCTTCCATCCAATACAGTCACGCTGAGAGCACTTCTAGCTATTTTCATACTCGATAAAAATTCCCAAGTTTGGGATTCTGTGTCATATCTTTCCACAGTATTCAATTGTTTTCCATTGTAGCCGCCTATTACATAGATGTATTTGTCCATCGCACATACACCTAGAAAGAATCAGGATTAGTTAGGAGAAGATTAATAGATAATATTACATAATAATCGTGGCGAGACATTTGAAAATTACAACGAAATTCTTGAAACCCTGTCCTATAAGTGATTGTACCAATATTGCTGTCTCAAAACCGGTAAAAGTTACTTGATTATCCTCCAATCAAATCAAACTAGTTCAAGAAATTATTCTCACATAATGTTAAATAACCTTAAGAAATATTTGAAAGAAAACCTGAATATTTATAACTAATTATAGCAACTAAAATATTTGAATAACGTTAAATAAGTGGAATGCACCTAATTAATTAGTGTAAGTAGACATGACCTTACGAAAATTTTTGTTAAACGATATAGTAATCAGCATTAGGCCCTGATATCAGTATCAAATTTTGAAAGGAAGCAAAAAAGTGTCTAGGTTTTCATGATCTTATTTAAATGAAACTGTAACATGTTTCAGCACGCAGTGCCTTCTTCAGAAGGAATAATTATTAGGTATTTTAGTTATTCCCTCTGAAGAAGGCACTGTGTGCTGAAAAAATGTATGGTTTCATTTAAACGAAATTGTGTACATTTGGAAACTGTCTTGTTTCCTTTCAAAATTTGTAATGGATTTCCATCAAGTATCGGCCAAATCAATCTCTCTAGCTAAAGTATCATGAACAGTGCTAAAATATAACAAACAGCAAAGTGACACATGGTTCAAAAATCAAAAATAATAAAATAATAAGATCAGAGGAAAAAAAAAAATCTGAATCCTAAAATCATAATTTAAATAAATGTACCGCTAGCTATTTACATTTCATTTGGAAATGTCTAACTTCAAGAAAACTCTTACCTGCACCACTTCTTTCTGTATACATCGGAGGTATCATTGTCCATTCATCATTTTCCGGATGATAACACTCAGCGGAACAGTGTCGCACTGTACCATCGAAACCTCCAATGGCATACAATAGTCTATTGACAACGGCTACACCTACAGCTAAACGTGCATAATGCATCGGTTTGACTAGAATCCATTTATCCATCTCTGGATCGTAGCTAGAAAAAAGCTCATCAGATTAAGTTTTCATCAGAAATATTTAGTTCCACTCACCATTCAACAGAATTATGATACTTTGTACACTCTCCACCACCCACAGCATATAATAAACCATCCATAACAGCTACTCCAACTCTGTTCCGAGGACAGGACATTGGGTGACAAGGCATCCATTCGTCCAGGATAGGATTATATCGATCTACCCAATCGGAATCATAACTATTACCTGGACTATTATTTCTACCTCCAACTGCGTAAAAATGGCCCTAAAATGTATATTATTGTTATTTTAAATGTTGTCAAGAGTATTATGATGAAAAAAAAAAATTGTCCGTAATAAAATGTTAAAATCTGATAGGCCCGTTTGATGTTTATGTAATATCGATTTAATCAGGGTAGATGGTGGCTTTTTACCAATTAGAAGATACAAGGACTGATTAATTTCATGAACGCGTAGTTAGTAGGAGAACACTGAATACACCTAGCTATCTCCACCATAAGTATTTACGATAAAGATGCAAATTCACCTGAGCCACTTGAAATGACCTTATCTTTCCTGGTGCTTTAAATAACTACTTCTATAATACTAGAACAGGGTACATTTCCTGTGATCACCAAACACAAAAAATATGCAGTCTAAAAGTCCGGCTCAAGGATTGTCATTGTTCTCTCTCAGATCTCTTTCTAACTACAGAACAAAAACGATCGCCTATATTTGTCCGACTGTGCGGTATAATAGGCGACCAACTGTTTAGTTGGCCAGAAACGGCTCAGCTTTGTATTTGTATGCACTACTTCAAGGCGTCAACACGAAGTGATCTTGTTCATGTTTGGTGCTGTGGCATAATGAAAAATGAAAATCAATGTGGTGAGGTAGAATATATGAATAACAAAATGGTCAGAGGCAGCATCAAATTTTAGGATTTCAAATTCACAATGATATTTGGAAAGCGTTAGTTCAGGGTAATCCCGTATTTTATTGCCCCCGCGTACTGTAAGGTGCTATTTGAAATTATGAAAAAAAAGGATCACTTCTTGATTATGTTTACCTAACTGAATGAATGGACCAAACATTATGATTGCAATATCGATCTTACCTTTAAAAATGCACAGCCTAACCCTGACCTAGGTACAATTAATCTATCTAACTTAATCCAAGTCTTGTCATCGATATTAAATCCTTCCATAATATCTAAAGATTGTTTATAATAACCACCAGCCACATATATCACTCTAGGAATATTTGGTGTTCTTTCTTTGACAGCTGTCCTAACATGTAAAGTCAGATCCTTGAATATTTTTGCCAAATATTCTTTACAAGCAGGAGTTTTCTTTATAACATCACATTTTTGTATTTGATCATTAAGGAATTTGGGAGGTAAAAATTGACACCGAACAGCAGCTAAAATGTCTTCCATTTTCCTATTTCGATTGTCCTCGTCATACTTTACCCACTTTAATACTGCGTTGTAAACTTCCTTTTCGTCTTGAACATTTAATTCATCTTTTCTTATTAACTGTATCAACTGGTGGGCACTGAGTTGTAGAAATTCTTCCTCTTGACAGATATGAATAAACCGTCTTTCAATATACTGATTAGCTTTTTTCGATAATTCTATACACCCATGTTGTTCGGCAAAATGGGCAATGCCTATAGAATTACTAGGATCTAATTGACGTTCCAAGAAATCACAGCACGCTTGAATTACATTAGGCACTTGTAGCATTGTAGCAGCTGGTAACAGTTGACAAACAGTATTTTCCGTAACGCGTATTTTACCAGTATACATAAAACTAATCAGTTTGTGCATGGCAGTGGGAGATATGCCTTGAAGTCTTACTCTGGACATTTCGCATTCTTTCAGTCCTCCAGTAAACATTGCCTTGAAGTACGGACTGGCCGCCGCCAAAACCACCCGGTGTGCGTGATAGAGTTCTGATCCAACTTCTAGTGTCACATCTGTCAGCATTTTGTGGCTTCTCATCATATCCATTGCCTGAAAATTTAAACTGTTTACTTTACTGTACTGAATCTTTACAGAGAACTAGTTAACACCTTTCACTTTTCGTGTATAACTTGAAAAAATAATACCTAGTGATAATAAGTCCAGATAATCATATTTTAATAGATAATTTTTTTAACAAGACAATGCAATTTGTATTTCAGTCGTCAAAAAAACAACCTAGACCCTCAGAGGTTAAATATTTCAACAACAAAGCACATTAGGTATAATATTTGGTTTCATCTTGGATTGACAAAAATACAAAAAATCGTTTTTGAAAGCCAACTGTTAAGGCCAAAATCTACCGCATAAGCATCAGAGACATAATTATGAACTTGCTAAACAAAGATCTTTTATCAGAATGTTTTGTCATGCCTTTGATTTTTGGGCTCTCGAAAAGTACCAACTTCAAATGTTCTGTTCCATTCTTGCACCCCAAAAAAACCAACCAATGTATAATTTTTTTTGTCAATGGCAGTTTTTGGGATGAAAGCCGAAGTTGATATTTCTGGAAAGCCCAAAAACCAGAGGCTCCATGGACACGACAGAAGTTTAAATTCTGAAAATGACATTTTCATAAGAATACAAGAAGCCTGAAAATGTTGTTTTTAAAAGTGCTGTTTAGTGCTGAATCCTAGTCCTAGATGGCGCCACGATTAAATTTCGCTCGTCGTATTACTTCTACTTTGCCTGCAGGCACTAAACTTGGATTGGTTTTCTTTGCTTTCCTAGCCACACTGATGAAATCTGATAGATCGAAACGCTTCTGTGGATGGAAAAGCGAAAAAAATTAATCCAAAATTTTCACATCAGTGGATAATAGGAGAAAACATGTTTTGCCTATTTTGGGTTTTCCCAATTGATTTTTGGTTGGCCTATTAGACGGTCAGTACTTTTACAGCAATAGTGCTGTTTAGTGCTGAATCAGTGAATCCTAGTCTTAGATGGCGCTCCGATCAGATTTCGCTCGTCGTGTTGTTTTTAAAATTATGGAACTTTACTCCTCAGAATTGATTTGGAGACTTAGGACTTGGTCACTAAGGAAAAAAAAAATAACAACAAACAATTCCAGGAAAGAAGTTATAAGATCATTCAATCGAGCTAAAGATACTGAAGAATGGGAAAAATATAGATATAGAGCGACTCTAACGAACTATAATAAAGGCATTAAGAAAGCAAAAACAGATTCGTCGAAAAGGTTCCGTAAAAGTGTGTCTGATGCACCTAGTAGTGGTAGAATGTAGAATCCACAAGATTCTGTCCAGAAAACCGATGCGGGACCTGGGATCGATTTAACGACCTGGCGGTACCTTCACTACCTCTAGGAAAGAAACACTAAAGGTTATGGCAGAGAACCATTTCCCAGGCAGCCAAATAATTGTCAACTCACTAATATCTCTCCCAGCAGGAGGAGTCAAACGACCTCGAAGGGATGACTCGCGGGATGTCAATGAAATAATTACAGCGCATCAGGGACGGATGGTATATATCCTACTACCTTCTTTAATTAGGATATTCAGATCAAGCCTAGCTTGGTTTCACATACCAACTAGCTGGTCAAGGACAAGGGTAGTGTATATACCCAAGATAGAAGTTGAACCGACCATCAACCTTAATCGTTCAGACCAATGAGTCTTACATCATTTCTTCCGAAAAGTCTGGAGAAAGTGCTGGACGCACACATCAAGGAAGGGCCATTAGGGCACAATCCATTGAGTGATAAGGGGTTTTCATTCGGGCTTAATGGCCGTCGTAAGTTGGAATTTCTTCCTGACGTTTCGCTAGCACGCGTGGCTAGCATCTTCAGAGGTGCTTCCATGTCCGATTCTGGTAGCAGACTGACGCGTTCCCGACCGTAAGTTGTATTTATGTGTGAGTGGCTGTGGTGGGGGAGGGGCGGGGCTACGCGGCACGTGGCTAATCTCAATTTTCTCTGTACTCAATGGGATCTTTCTTGCGTTTTTGAGGATCGAATTCCAGATTTGGTTAAGTTTTAGTGTTTCTTCTTTCCTGTTGAAGTTTTCCGTATGTTTGTGGATTTCTATAGCTTCACGTACGAGACGATTGTGGTATCCGGAAGTCGGTGCAAGAAGCTTGACCTCACCAAAGAGTATTCCATGGTTCCCTTCACTAAGCGCTTGTTCCGCAACTGCCGATTTTTCCGATTGTCCTAGTCTGCAGTTTCTTTTGTGCTCGTTCATCCTGGTTCCCATGGATCTTTTTGTCGTTCCTATGTATACCTTACCACATATGCATGGTATACGATAGACTCCAGCGCTAGACAGTGGGTTCCTCTTATCCTTGGCTGATCTGATTGATTACTGTATTTTCCTTGTTGGCTTGAAGATTGTTTTTATGTTGTTTCTTCAAGACTTTCCCTATCCTGTCTGTCACCCGAGAAATGAAAGGCAGATATGCATTAGCCACCACTGGTTGTTCATCCACATTTTGTCGTGTGGCAGTTTTGGGTCGCATGGCCTTGTCGATTTCAGAGGTATTGTATTGTAACCATTTGATAGAAAGGCCGACTTGAGATGATCCAGTTCTTGCTCGAGATATTGTGGCTCGCAGATGTTTCGAGCACGTTTTGTTAACGTTGTTATAATTCCACGTTTTTGCCTTGGATGGTGGTTTAAGAGCGCATGCAGGTAACTGTCTGTGTGTGTAGGTTTTCGGTACACCGTGTGGCTTAATTTTCCTCCAGATTTCTTTATGAGCACATCTAACAAGGCGATTTCCTGGTTTTTCTCCTTTTCCATGGTAAATTCTATGCTAGGATGTTGCTCGTTCAGGTGGCCTAGGAACTGGTTAAGCTTCTCTTCCCCATGACTCCAAACCACAAAAGTCAAGTGCTGGAGTCTATCGTATACCTACCATGCACATGTGGTAAGGTATACATAGGAACGACAAAAAGATCTATGGAAACCAGGATGAAAAAGCACAATAGAAACTGCAGACTACGACAATCGGAAAAATCGGCAGTTGCGGAACATGCGCTTAGTCAAGGGAACCATGAAATACTCTTGGGTGAGGTCAAGCTTCTTGCACCGACTTCCGGATACCACAATCGTCTTGTATGTGAAGCTTTAGAAATCAACAAACATACGGAACTTTAACAGGAAAAAAGAAACACTAAAACTTAACCAAATCCGGAACCCGATCCTCAAAAACGCAAGAAAGATCCTATTGAGTACAGAGAAAATTGAGATTAGCCACGTGCCGTGAAGCCCCGCCCCTCCCCCAACATAGCCACTCACACATAAATACAACTTACTGTCGGGAACGCGTCAGGCTGCTACCAGAATCGGACATGGAAGGACCTCTGAAGATGCTAGCCACGCGTGCTAGCGAAACGTCAGGAAGAAATTCCAACTTACGACGGCCATTAAGCCCGAATGAAAACCCCTTATCAATAAACCTGGGCCGCGAAAGCCTCACAAACTTTATCAATCCATTGAGTATTCATCAGTAAGGTAAACGCACCAGTTAGAGACAGCGCTCCAGTAATTGACACTTAGAGGTAAATCTTAACAAAATGAACTTACTCCACGTTCCAGAGCCATTTTCAATAAAAAAAACTTCATAAATACGATATTTGGCAACACTGTCCAAGCTATGAAAGAAATCAGCTGATATCGACCAGTCATGAAAAAATGTGAAAAGTTTGGTTACAAGTCGGATGTGAAAAATTTAGAAATTCATTAAGGTAAATACATCGAATATTATTTTTTATTCCTTAATGTATGTTTTTATACCTATGTTTAATTATTTGCATATGTTTGAGGGCAGAGTTTAGGTATGATTAAAAGGTTTTTTACACATTATCTGAAATTGGTGTGGGTGTCAATCACTGGATCTCTCAACAAATTTAAGGCAATCATAGCAAAAAATTGCAATATTTGGCAGGACGCTTACATTTTAATATGATTTCAAAAAAATCAGTGGTTCCAGTTATTGACATGGGTGTCAATTATTGATACACAGGGTGTCAATTACTGGAATTTAATTTATTGCAGATATGGCACCAAGAAAACACTACTCCAAAGAGCAGATGAGTGAAGTTCTAGCAGCTGTGGCAAGAGGCGTACCTTAGCTACTGCCGCTAGATCCTACTCTGTCCCAAGAATTACATCATATTACAAGTCGTGTGGCAAATTACCCGTAGAATGTCATATGGGACCAACCACAGTTCTTACCCATGATGAATAATATTTGCTAGACCAGTGGATACTCTCTTTAGCTAAGGCTCATCCTGTTCATAAAGATCAGTTATTAGATAGTGTGCAACTTTTACTGCAAGAAAAGAATCGCCCCAATCCTTTCAGCAATTCTCGCCCAGGTAGAAAATGGTTCAATTTACTTCTGAATAGACACCGAAATTTAAGTTAGAGAGTTGCACAAAATTCAACTCCCGCTCGAGAAAAGGCATCAGAAGAGCAAATTAAATGATGATTTGAGGAAATCAAAGCTTATTTCGAATCAAAGGACCTATTAGATGCAACTAATGACGCAACTCGTGTTTTCAATTGCGACAAAAGTGCGTTTTTCCTCCAATCCAAAGGTGATAAGGCATTAGCGAAGAAGGGCGACAAAAACATCTATAATGCTGGAACCAACGATGATAAGGAAAACCTTACAGTTTTAGTGACGGCAAATGCCGCTGGAGTGCTAGCTTCCCCTATGGTCGTCTTCAAATACTTACGTATTCCAAGTCATATTGCACTTAGCATCAATAAAAGCTGGGGAATAGATCGTTCCGAAAGTAGCTGAATGTGTGGCCAAACGTTCTTTGGAAGAAATGTGCGAGGGAATGGCACATTGAGAATCATGGAGAGAAGCTACGGAAAGAAAATTTTGGTCCCATATTCGAAAAAGCCTTAAGTTCAGTTACTACTGAGACAGTACAAAATGGGTTCAAAGCATGTCGCTTATTACCGTTCAATGTGGAAAATGTAAAGTTCTCAAAAATTTCAAACTTTAAAAAGGAAAAATTGGATCCTGTAACACTTCAAAAGACGAGTATTGGATTGGGAGCTCTAGAAAAGTACATCTCAAAAGAATTAACTGCATTTCAAGCAAGCAAAGCAGATTGAAATGGAAATATAGAGGATACATCACTTTTCAACGTTTGGAAAGCAATGAGTAAAACAGAGTTGTCAAAGAAAAATAAGAACATTGAAAATGATATAGCCCAGCCTGGTTGTTCGAGACTTAATTTAGGAACTAAGGAAGCCACTCTTCCAAAAACTAGTGTTGAAAGCTTTTCACCTTCACCAGCTTCAAATAAAATTATCAAATATCCATTTGGGTCCCCTTCAACTGTGTCTGTTCTCAAAGAAAATGTTCCAAAACCATTTAAAAAGGCTCTATTTTGGCCAAAAGAAATCAAAACTGATAAAAAACGAAACAAAGAAAAAAATCCTTCTGCAATAACATCAGAGAGTTGGCAGGAATACCATGAAAAGAAAGAGTTAGAAACAAAGCACAAGCAGGAAGAAAAAGAAAAGAGTTGAAGAAAGGAAACGCAATCAAGAAATGAAGACGACGTCAATAATACCAGTTGAAAGAAAAAAATTACAACATACTCTGAAATTTCACCTGATAGTGAGGAATGGGAAGATAGTGGTGACAGCATGGATGATGTTCAGTCAGAGAAGGAGGAAGCTGAAGATGATGAATGTGAAAATAAGCAAGATAATTCAAAATCAGAAGAAAAGAATTTAACATTGACTGAAATCAAAGTGGGAGATTTTATACTAGCAAAGTTTTTGGGGGCAAAAGGAAAATATTCTTTCACAGATATATCTGTATAATTCAGAAAATTTACAATGAGAATGACATCGAAGTTGTTTCATTAAAACCATGAAGTGACACATCAACATCTTTCAGATGGTGAAAAATGATATCTTGACGATTAAAATGGAAGATATAATTCAAAAACTGGAACAACGAGAACTGCAAAAAATTGGCGACAGAATTAAATATACATTTTCAAATCGAATAGATATACGTGAAGCCTAAAGTCCATATACCTGCCTACTACCATGCCTACATAATATGTTACTACTCATTTTATTATAAGTATTCATGTTCTGAGAAATAAAGTTTTTTGTCAATAACTGGTGTGTCAATAACTAGAACTGGCATATGCTGTCAAATACTGGTGAATTTACCTCGCGCCTGCTAGCAGGGTTCATCGGCATAGAGGGAGGGAGCCTTCAACAACACTTTTAATAACTACCTTTATGAATCGGCTATTTCCAGAGGAATTGAGCCTTTTATCTGTGACTGGATTTGCAAGATGCTTGAGAACAGGTATATAACGATAACCCTACAAGGGGAAACAGTTACCCGGCAAGGAAAGGTTCTCTCATCTCTCCTGTGGTCTCTCTTGGTGGACAACCTGGCTGGCCATAATCCAACTGTGAGAGGTCAGCCTGCAGGCTTATGCGGAAGACATAGCCATTGTAATAAGGGGAAAATCGGAACGTAGACTCTCCGAAACCCTCCAGGAAATAATAGACACAATACTTGCATGGTGCGAGAGTGAGGATATGACAATAAATCCTCACTCACAAAATAGCTGAAGTGGCCTTCACAAGAAAAAGGAAGCTTCATCATCTGGTACCCCTTAACCTACGAGGGGTGGTGGTACCCTTTGCAAACGAAGTCAAATATCTAGGAATTACTCTAGATAAAAGGCTTACCTGGAACTTTCATTTGGCAAAAATAAAACAGAAAGCTAGGTACTCACTATGAACCGGCCGCAGGATCTGTGGCAGATCATGAGGAAGCAAATATACTGGTGTTGAAAATTGTTTGTTGCAGAAGCTAGAAAAAGTAGTTAAATGTTTCGCTTTTTTGTGATTTAAGACAGCGCTAGCTTGACATAAGACATAAATTAGCACCTTCCCAAAAAAAAATGGATTTGTTGAATAAAGTAATACCTCTGCCCCACTAAATATCATTTACATATTTAGATACAAGAGACTTTGATACAAGTATAAAAAAACAATCACAATTTGTAGACGCAAAAAATGCATGAGCAGCTTTTTGCATTTTTATTAATTAAAAATTATCAACATACTTGAAGGTCGAAAATTGTTCTTCAACGAATTTTACTTAATGTATTCAGTTTTTTGCTAATAATGCGAATTTTTCAAGTCCCCAAAGATACAAAGTTAATATGCGAGGTTATAAAATTTATGTTTAATTGATTTTTGACTCCTAATAAAATGTCAAGTAAATAGGCAATTAATTAAACAAGGCCTAGAAAAGTGGCAACTCATCGCTGTATCGCATTAATATGTATACATAATTTGCACCAATTCCTCTTTATTATAGTGCAAGTCACTGTTGTTTATGCAAGAGCATTAGGCCTGAAATTTCATTATTATTATTTTCGGTTATTTTCCAAGTTTGAAACAGGTATTTATTGTTTCTGATAAATATTCCACATTTGAATAAAGTAAATATTCAGCCTGTGCTAATATGTTGACATTAGATTAAAATTGTTGATCAATTTCGGATAGATGCCTACCTTCATAGCATCCTTGAGATAATCGATCATCATAAATGCCATATCAACCTGATCGCTATTGCTACTACCCTGGCTCCCCGCGCTTTTGGGACAAGTATTTGTTCTTGTACGGCTATACCCTGTCGAGTCATCATCTCCCTCCATAATTAAACTGAAAAAAAAATATATATATATATAATATATCACTAGGCGAATAAATAGTATCTATAAATAACACCTATGCAATTGTTTCTTGATTATTATCATTATACCCGCTTATTATTTATCTATGAGATATTTTGGAAAATAGATGTAATATTTTTGTGAGACATATTGTATTTATTGTATCTATTAGTTCTTTTGAGCAATACCCCAAACAATGTTGATAATATGTAGTGGTTTTAATTGCCCTTCATAGTTCATAAGGGAAAACTCTCAGAAAAACTGTAGTTTAACGAACTTGTCCAAAAACCCTAGAAATAGAGAGAGCTCTTAGAAAGGCAATTTTTGAGCAAAAAAATCTCTATCCACGGAATTTTCCAACATGTTTTCTCAAAACGGCTCAAAATTAGTTTTCAGTTTATTAAATAGTAGGTAACTCATACAATTGAGACGATTCAATTTTCTCAAGCTATTTCATTTACTAAAACTATGTTTCGACACACAATGTCTTCACTATATACCTACTCCTCTGAAACGGCTCGACCGATTTTTATGAAATTTTATATGTATATTCGGTAGGTCTGAGAATCGGTCGTATTCGGTTTTTATACCCCTAAGTGATAAGGGTGGTCCACCCCAAATTTTTTTATTTTTAATTTTTGGACAACATTTTTTATTTGTATGTTTTTATGATGTGGCATTAAAAAATACATACAACCCTAAATTTTCACTCTTCTACCGCCAACCCCTATTTGTTAATGGCGATATTAGCTGACCCGGGTACTGTTCTTTTCAATATAGTCGAGTTAATTTTCTACTAATAAAGCTGAAAATGTTTCAGTCGATCTGAAATCCTACCGGATTGAGAATAGAGCGTTGGGCGAAAATTTAAATGTGATTGGCAGAAAAGTTTTGAAGAGTTAAAATTTACACAAAGCACCATATAATTATGTTATCAATAATTACTTATATTAGGTTTGTGTTCAACTGTAACTCTCCAAAACTCCTCACCATCACATTTGAATTATGGCTTAACATTCTATTCTCAATCTCGTAGGGTTTCAGATCGATTGAAACATTTTTACTAGTGATATGCAACTTTGATACTTAGAAGTATCGGTATCGAATAGATACTTGAACTAAATGTATCGAACACTTTGGAACCTATGTGATGAGATTTTTGAGAATTGGAATTGGGAATGACGCATAACTAGCGGGGAATCCCACAGACAACAGTCACAAAATCTATGTAAATGTAACATAGCGCACGGATTTCGTACGAATTACAAATAAGCACGCTGCATGATTACAGATTTCTGTAAATTTTGAAGGATTTTATAACTTTACCGCTACCCGCTATCATAGACCTAACTTCTACATGCCGCTATATTGGACTTTATTCTTGCGGATTCACTCTGAGGATAGTGGAGCGTGAGAAAAAAAAGTATCCAAAGTATCCAAGCATTTAAAAATAAATTATCGGATACTTCAAATTTAGCAAAGATCACTGACTGAGCCACAGCAACGACTTTTAATAAAGCAATACGACTAGCTTATCCTTAAGATAAAAAAATTAAATTTGAAAACAAAAATTTGTGTTTACAAATTGATTCTTATCAATATTGAAGCGGGTTCATCAAATTCAGGAAGTTCAAAACCAAAATTTGATTTTGCATTCCAATGTTTATTTTGTTCAAAAAAAAAAAAACAAAGTTAGAGGTTTGCGAGGGCAACGGGAATAAAGGAAAACATACTACGAAGCTGTAAAAATCGGGCTGATGATGGGCAAAAGGCATGTTCACAAGACAAGAATCAGAGGAGAATGCGATATAGTGGCATATAAGTGAACTGTCCAGCTATCCAAACTGTTATTATATATAGCAGGTTTTACCAAATGAGAATGTATTAGTGCTTTGAATGATACTTGAGAAAAATCAACACTTAAGTATCTTTGCCGCAATAAAGTTTGAATTCAAATATTGTTACGAACTAGCGGGAATTCCATTGCACTGTCCCGTTGTATTGTTAGTAAAGTGAGTTTAAAGTGGATTTGCGATATCCGTGACAATATTTTACAAATAATATACATACTTAAGTTTATATTTGATAAGTGATAAGTATTTAGAATACAAAAATCATGCTTATTCGAGATTTTTATGACAGAATTTTTTTGTCTAAGAGATAGTCAAAATTACTAGTTTTCAAAAATGTTGCTTACTTTAGAACACCGATATCTCAAAAACTAATAGTACGATTTAAAATGTTGCTATGAGACTGTAAAGGGACAGCAAAGAGCTATCCAACGATTCAACCCAATTTAAATTCATATTTAGAAAAAGTAATAAGTTAGAGTAGCTGCCTCTCAAGGGGTGAGGCGAGGTAACTCAAAAAGTGCCTCATTTTGGTTCCCCCTCCAATACCCCGATACGTATTTGAGATGTTTCTGATAGTATTTTTTGTCTAATTGCTACTTTTCACTCTGTATACATAAAATATCAAATAATGAGAAAGGAATATATTTCGCTTGACAGAAACAAATGTATTGTTAGTGGATAGAGTTAAGTACACAGAACCAGAAAATAAAACAATAATTTTTAAAATAAAATTTCCCTTGGATGAAGATGTACTCAAAAGGAAGTTGCATGGCATCAGAATTGTTATATTTGTCATTTCTAGATAAGGTAAGCACCGGCAGATGTTGGATCTTATGATCAATTCTACATATTTTCCAACTAGTTTTAACAAATTAAGGTTAGAAATTGAGTTGGTGCAAGAAACCCGACTCCACTGTGAACGACCGGTGCGGGAACGTAGTTCGTAACTTGCATTCAGTTTTAGTAAGAGAACTATTGTATAGGTTGAGTGAAACCTATAAGTGATTAATGATTGGTAAATCAAATCAAAAACTTCAATAGAAGTTGTTGTTATCAAAGAGAGTATAAGAAGATTCGCGGAACTCGTGTCAAATTGGTGTCAGAAGTGGGATAATTAACTAAGGTGGATTAATTTGCGATTAATAGTGAAATAATTGGGGGGACTAGTAAATTAGTTTGAGCTAATTAGGGTGATAATAAGTAGATCGATTTGACCTAATTAGCCGGAACTATAAATGAAATTATAGTTATCGTACGGGTATTTGGACTTCGCGACAGAACATAATATTTAGTAACGTAACAGCATATACAAAAACAATCAGCAGGCTAAGTCGAACTTTATATCCTCTAATGGAGGCGTGCGCAAAAAAGATGCGCGACCGATCCCGAGCCCCTGCCGTTTAAATGATAGGCTGTATCCTCGAATGGAGGCGTGCGCAGAAAAGATGCGCGTGAGAGTTAACCTGCTGATTGTTTCTGTATATGCTGGTGCATCAAGTTTCACGAAAGAGAATATTCCATGGTATAACTAACTATACACGAAAGCGAACAGCCGAAATGCAAAAAGTTTATCAAATGTTGCTGGATTTTGAATGAAAAATATCGAAAGCAAGAAACAAGAATAAGAAGACCGAGAACAGGGAGGAAGACAAGAAGAGGAATCCGGAAGGCAGAAAAAAACAGAACCGGCTTGCAGCCCTTTTCCAACAACAAGAAGATCAGAGATCTAAAAAAAACAAAAAGAGCAGGACCGGCTTGCAGTACTTTTAGAACAAAAAGAAAATCGGTGATCAAGCACTTTTACAACCACAAGAAGGTCTAAGATCAAAGATTGGTTTCGTGTATGAAGCGCGTAGTTTGTAAGCTGCAGTCACTTTAAATAAGACAACTGTTGTAAAAGTTAAGTAATTATTGAATTTCGTGAAGTTGATTGGTTCAATAAAAGTTATTGTCGTTGTTAGTAAAGACCCTCGGAATTCGTGACGAATCTAATTTGCAATGCCGTTATCATCATCATTAGGCTGGAAAAACTAAAACGTTTAGTTTCCCTGTAAACTGTACAAACATTGGTGATTGAGGTTTTTCTGTGTTGAGGTTAACTACGGAGTTGTTTCATCCCACCACCAAAGTTTCTAGATGTGGAACAAGTGCAAAACTTACCATTTTACAAGTATCTTTCTGATTGCGACATTTTTTAACTGTCTTCAAGAAGATGCTTGCCATAAGGGAATCACCCTAGAACAAATGGCTTAATTTGTTTATCATTTTAATTTCGCAAGATTTAAATTTAAAAAAGTAATACCTATCCAATTTTTGATTGAATCAAAGTAACTTTTCAGTTTTCTAAAAACACCCGGAATTGCAGTATGAAGAATGGATTATAAGCTTAAATGAAACAATAAATAATAAAGTATCATGCTGTCGACGATGAAAATTAATTTCTAGAATTCTCGAAACAGAGTTAATTAAAACTTTGTTAAATTAAAATGGAATTGAATACACAGAAGGAAGATTGAAAGACCCAAATTTCCTTTGAAATTATTAAAATACCATACCTAGACAAGATCCATCAGGATTAGGATTCGAGACGACTGTTCCACCAGCACACTCGAAACAATAATAATTTATGAAAACAAAATCCGCAAGCTAAACTCTCTTTTTGAACCTAAGAAAAAGGGGCGACCAAAAATTTTAGTGTTGATGTATTTAACTTGGTGAAGGTAAAATATAAAATGGACAAATTTAACAGTAATTATTATAGGTCTAATTGCATAGAAATCACAAACCAATCAGAGTAAATTTCATTGATTGAAACTAGTTTTCTGACTGTTTTCAACCAATGAAATTTGCTCTGACTGGTTTGTGATTGCTGTGCGAACAGACCTTATAATTGTTGTAAAATACCAGGAAGTTAGTGATCTATTACTCAGTACCAAAAAAAAAAATTACTAATAAATTTAATACATAATAATATTTATTCCTATTACCTATGTTTAATTAAATGCGTTAATCAATGAAGTCATTTTCCTTTATTAAAAACTCGATCAAACATAAACAAGTTTAATTTCCTTTGGATGTTTGTGAATAAAATTAGTTTAGCAATTAATTCAACCATTTGATAAATGTAAAAAATATTACAATCAAACTCAAAAATTAAACATACGATTATTATTGGATTTATTAAAATGATAAGCAATACAATGTAAGAGCAATACCCAGTTGCCATTCTAAATTTTTGGTTTTAATTATCATAACTTTTAATTTTTTTGTTGTATTAAATAAAAAAACTACAGATCTCTCGCATGCATTCTGGATCTGGACCATGATAATTTCCTCAAGACCAAAACATTCGTAAATATAGGTTTGTTTTCTGTTTTAAAAGTGCAATTACTTGTTGTATGTGTAAATATGAAACACTTACGCAGGTAAATTTGGCTTTAAAAACACCATTGTCATTATTTTAAACAAAAATTACGCACTAAACAACCATAAACACACAAACTAATTCACGCGTTGTCATCTTACGTACAAGATCACTTCGAACAAGCGCTCAAGTGAATTAAAAGCGGCACCATTATTTTAAAATACACTACGTATGATGACTTTCATAAAACGTTAGTAAACGATATTTAAGCGAATATGTTTAAACAAAATGCACAGTTAATTTGCTGGTAGACTACCAATCGCACTACCGCGAATGTATCAGAACCATTCATGGAAGGTCAATGTTATGCTAGGTTTTGTGTGCATGTATAAAAAATCGCTCACCTCTCCTCTTTTGATATAATCAGGAGCGTGATAAAAATGTTGCTTAGTCATTTTTGCAAATAAGCATTGTTACAATGAAAAAATATGGTCATGTTTTTAACATATTTGTTTCAGGTTTTTTGAGAGGTCATTTGGTTTCATGGATTTTTTGTGCAAAAATTAAATACCTAATAGGCGATACCACCAGATTTTTAAGAATGTAGTGAATTTAGATTTAGAATCAAGGGTAAAATACAAAATTTTCGAATTAAAATTTGAAAATGAGAAATTTCAAAACACTTTTTCTATTAGGTATTGTATTATAAACCATTTGGTTGGGGAAATTGTGATTGAAATCGCCTAATTCGAAAGCATTGTTAAGTAGGTTCGTGTGTCTATTTACAAACTAGTTGTTTTAACCTGTGTATATACAAAATACCTGATGTTAAAATTTGAAATAATTAGATGCTTTATAGAATTTCTGCAATTCCATTTTACAAATTGACTGTTTTTCATGGTTTTACCAGAAAAAGCAAGAATCCCCTCGAGCTTAATTTGAATGGTTCGAAGCAAGGTTCGAAGTGTGTATAGATTTTTAGTAAATAAATAAATGAATAATTTTATTAAAGTTTGGAAAAGTATAGTTCGCTTAACTCGCTTACGTAACAGAATCAAGAGAAAATTTATTTAAAATATCAAAAACTGATATACCGTTTATCTTTGACAAGACCTCATAGTAATCCTCAAAACCCAATAAATAGACACATTCATGTCATGTAGGTAGACTTTGTTTAGATATCTACTTAATACATACAACAATCTCTCCGAAATGTTTTGTCCAAGGTAAGGATGGGTTAGCGTTATCTGCGGAACGGTTGGAGTTACAATGTTGGGTAGATTAGGGAAAAGTTGGGTAATTTGACTACCTTTACATAAAGTTTGTAGGATTGGGCTTTCTTATTCCGATTTCGATTTTTTTTTTGAAAAAAGCTATTTTTTCGATTTTGGCTTCTATTTGTTTCTGACGTTATTTTGACAGATCGAGGGGTTAACCACCTTGAAAAATGTGTATGTAGGTACACCAAAATCCCACTCTTAATGGAATCCCACAATATCTCACTGAAATCCAATATAATTCTATGGAATTCTATTGAATTTTTTGTGATTATTTTGCCACAATTAACTAATTATTGAGTCATTCTGAAAAATGAGGAGTTTTTGAATTAATGAGTGTATATTCAGAGGAAAATTCTGAATTGAAAATAAATGAATTATTGAACTAATACCTAAGTGAATTTCATGAGGAATTCTATGAAATTTCTTGTAATTATTTAAAATTATTTTGAACCCTAGAAAACAAAGACTCTCGACTAAAAAGTCTTCGTTTTTCAGTTTAGCCGCCACTACATAGGTACAGACTGAAAACATCAACTCATCAAGCAAACTAAGGAATCCTATTGGAATCTGATTGGAATCCCACATGCTTGTACACTATAATTCCAGGGTGGTTTACCCTCGGGTTTACCCTTAGATGGTTCACCCCTCGTCAAAAAATAAAAAACACTTTATCATTGTCACATTTTAGGCTTAACAAGATGGCGCTTACATATTTTCACTCCGACGTTTCGTTTCCCAGGAACCATCATCAACTTATTTTTTTTGTTTAACAGGGTCCTGTTATTTTTATTACAAAATTTGAAGCCATTTAGAATTCTGGATTAGGTGATATTACACTTGTAATGGTTTGAATATGATTTAGCTTATTTTAGCCAAATTTCAAAATAATTTAGGAGACACCTTCTGAGTACGACTCTGAATGCTTCAAAAACATGTACATATTTGGAAAAATAACAATTGTTCATAAGGAAAAAAAGTCTCTTAATAAAACCTGATAGTGCTCTTAATTAATTAGATATTTACATTTAATTAATTTGAATAATTTTGATTGATTATCACAAATACTTTTTTAAATTATTAGTGACTAAAATTGTTAGAATGCTTTTTTCCCTTTTAACTGTTATGATTCTCCCCAATAAATTTTTTTTTTGAAGCACTCAGGAGGTTCCTCCTAAATTATTTTAAAATATGGCTAAAAGAAGCTAAATACATATTAAAACCATTACAAGTTCAATATCACCTAATTGAATTCAATTTTTTTTTATGATAGTATGGACAGAGGTGGTTGGGCTTTTCTTTGGTTAGTTTCGAGCCTGCAATTTTCTGGACATTGAAGTGAAAGAATCGGGGTTGAATACCTTGGGATTAAGAGGCAGATTTCTAAAACTAATAAAATCATATTTGACCCGCCAAAGATTTCAGTTTCATTTACCGAATTCGGATTATTTCGACTTTGTTTCAAACACAGGAGTGCCACAGGGTACAGTATGGAACCACTGCTGTTTATACTCTATACCTATAGAAGAACTTCCATAGTACAACAGAAGAGATTTCCGGCAACACTAAAAAAACCTATTGCTTGAAAAAACAATTTTCAATAGAAATAAACCAATAATTTCGAAAACATTTTATAACAAATTTGGACAACAATGTCATAGAGTGAAAACAACCCTAGGGCTGTTTTTCAGCAAAATTATTTGGCCCTAATTTTCAATTTAAAAGGTACAAGTAGCGCGCGGTTACTGTGTTACAGTCAGTCTAAATAAATGACGTGAAAAGGCAAGATAACTACTGGACTAGTTTGAGCTAGCTAGTGTAGTGGGAATAGTGACTCCATTACCGGAAAAGCGCGCCATTACTCAATTGAGACCTTGATGTGTTCGGCATTATTAAGAGAGTTGTTGAAGTCAGTTTAAGCACGAGATTTTGTTGTGTACCTACGTTTTGATAAGTGATAAGTCAATTTTTATAAAATCAATTTGTTCAAACAAAAGTTGCTACCTACTGTTTGTAAAGTTAGTTTTACAGAACACGGAATTCGTGGCAATGCATATAATTTTGAATAAATTCGATTATAAAATGAGCTTCAATTCATTTTGTCGATTTTGTTTCAATTCGAATTGAGAAACAATCGATTTCAGCTCTTGTTTTCTTAAAAATTCCTTGAACGATTTTTTATTTCATTTTATTTAACGCCGAGAATATACTTACCTATAATACAGGGTATAACATTTAAAAGAAACAGGCTAAATATCTGATGTCACTTTTATTTTATTTTTTTAAATCGCTCGTACACGTAATTTGATTGTGTGAGTGTTTGAAACATTTTCAGCACTAGCTTAACCCTCTAGGAGGGGTGGGACCAACCCTTACCATTCCAAATGGAACAGGGGGTCGAGTGATACCTGATTTAAAAGAGCATTCAATTTTCTTTCAAATTACATCAAATGAAAGAGAATTGAACGCTGTTTTGAAAGAGGTATCACTCGACCCCTTGATCCATTTGAAATAGTAAGAGTTGGTCCCACCCCGCCTGGAGGGTTAAAGTTAAAGTGCTAAAAATGGTTGCAGAAACTTCCTCCTTTGAAAATTAAATTCCGTTTAGGAGTGATTGTTTTAAAAGTAAACGTGACATCGGATATTTAGCCCGTTTCGTTTTAAATGCTACACCCTGTATATGGCCACCAAGACCAGTATTTATACTTTTATAAGTTTTTATCGTCTGTTATATAATTTATCGAGTGTTAATTTTAGTGGCATGCAGACGTATTGATTAAAAGTTGATGAAAAATTTTCTTGTCTCGACAGGGATTTGAACCAAGGACCCCTACATTTCCAGTGTAACGCTCTACCAGCTGAGCTACCAAGACCTGTTTCATTTCTACCTTGTCGATCAAGTCTAGAGAGCGTTACACTGGAAATGTATAGTGGAGTTTAAAAATGATTTTATCGTGTCATTCCGTCGGAACTCTATTGCTAAAATGTAAAACCTATCTTATATCGTTCCTTACGCCTTAAGAAAGCAAAATCGATTGGTCGTCAAAAAATCGTGGGGTGCAGGGGGGTAGTTTGGGGTAGTTTTCCAAAAAATTGCAAAATTTTTTTTTTTTTCATTTTTCGAATCTACACTACGTGTTCAATGATCTGCAAAAGTTTTATTTCAAAATTCCAAGTAGAAGTATTATATTTCGAATTTTGAAATGTTTGTACAACACGCATTTATATGGAGTACCTTAATATAAAACAGCTCGCACTGAAACATCAAAATTGCGACATCATTCACACATAGATAATTCAAGAATGCTTATTCTAATCAAAAAAACACTTTCTATAAACGCTGTAGATCAAAGATCAGGGATTAAAATGCTTTTTTATAATCAAAAATCCGATAAGTCGTTTTGTCAAAAACCTGTTAAATGTAAAAGCATGTCGTGGCGACCGCGCTCGGACGCAGAGATGCGAGGATGGTTGAAATTCCATTGGCATGCGATTAATTCTATGTGGTGCACGGTCCGTATTAGATATCTACCGGTTATGACTTTTTGGTGTAAACTATTGACTGGATTTAAATTTGCATACAACTTGTATTTAACTTAATTCGTAGCTCCAATAATAACGGAGTTAGTACCTAATTAATAACTTTTGTAATAGTGCTGAATTAATTCGGGGTACCCTATATTGTCTCTTTTTTGTCACAAGGTATACTTACATACTATATTTTGTAAGTAGGTATTTCTATTATATATGTCTTCAATATAGGTAATCATTTTTGACGAATTGAGGTGAATTTACATAGGTATGATATTTTTCTAGAGGCAAGACGCGATGGATTTGAGCAGTACTAGTTCCGACAGCGAACTAGAGTTGAAGAATAAATTAAAACTCTCTAAAAAAGAAATTGTCAGCTATGAGGCTGAAAATATCAAATATCAGCTGTGCGTTTTTTTTGTCAAAAAAACTTGTTTGAATCTCATCAAAAATCCCGACAGAAATTCATTGGATGTACGAAGGTCCGTATGAACATTAGTCAAAGCAACACACTGTAAAGCTACGTACGCACTTTGCGAGGCAGCCTCGCGAGGCTGCCTCCCGAGGCGTGCTTCGCAAAATTAGTACCTGCCTCGACTCACTGTCTGCCGCGTTGAGAGGCAGCCTCGCGGTGAGCCATGCTTAGTTGGTTTTTTGGTCGTGCTCAAAGAAGCCTCGTAGCGCGGCATTTCCCAAGTTTGTACGTGTTTTCTGATTATGAGCGACATTGTTGTTGCCTCAGAGCGAGTCAATGAATGACGGCTCGCATTGCCTC